TAGCTTCCCAGGTGGGTACTTTGAAGGTGACCGTAGTGTTCAGCAATGAGGTCTGTAGCACTTTTTCTGGGATGAGTTCCCGAACTTCACTGTTGGACCTTTTATATAACAGCACTTGTATGTAAGGAATTTTCTTCTTTGATTTTTGGAGCCAAGAGAAAATATATCCTATGCAGATTAAAATTAAAGAGAAGTCTAAAACATGGTCAAAATATTGCCACAAAAGTGGCACATTTCATGAGAAAGGGGTTGTTCTAGCATCTTGCTTCCACATCCCGCTGGGTTAGGGAGACAGGGTTTAATTTACAGGCCCTCCCGTCATTCTTGGTGCATGGCAGAGACTTCCCTTGCCAGGAGTCCTCCTGGCTACAGCTGATATGGGTCGTGAGTGTGTTCTCACCCAAGGTACAAGGGGTGCTGTACTAAGTGGGAAAAGGACAAAGTAGCCTTGGGGCTTAAGCCCAGCCTGTGTTGGGGGTAAGTTCAGCTTGCCGGTTCCCTGTACCACCACAGTGAGACAAGCTGGAGGTCTTGAGAACTCCCACCGCCACCTTACATGGCGTGTTGATAGATGGCGAAAATCGAAACACCAACATCGCCTGCTAAGATAACAATAGTAGGAAAGTATAATCCTTTCTTAAGAAATGGCAGCGTGTCCCAGAGGAAGCTTTCTGGCTTGCCCTCAGATGCAGGAATGCAAGTGACGTCAGCTGAGCCAAAGACTGGGCAAATTGCCTGAACCAGGCTTTTCTTTCCACAGCCACATCGTGCTTGGTAGGGGGGGCAAATGTGGCGCCGCCTCTTCTGATGTCGCCGGGAGACCAGTGTTCTCAAGTGCAGCTTCCTTCCGGTGGCCACTGCGGTAAAAGGCCTGCGTGCCCGTCCTCCCTAACCCCAGGGCTGGCACCTGGCTTTAAAGCTGCCCTACAAGCCAGCACCATCCCGGCCCTCTTGTAATCAGATCTTATTGCTTCAGACACACAAAGACTCACGCTTGTGTCTGAAGGTTTCTTACATAGTTTAACTTGTGATTGTATTTGCTTTTAATAAAGTCTACAGCATCAAACACATACTTTGCAGGACGATCATGTAGATGGGAGAGAAAAAAAAAAGTCTAACTGATGCTGTAAAAATAGCCTCACGATCATTTTTAAATAAAGATCATTGCCTTTTATAATGCTCTAAAGTGTCCCTTAGGAATGTGTTTATTTCTTCCAGAAATTCCATCTCGTAAGTTAATTATATTTATCATGCTGCTTTGGGCACTAGGAAACTCAGAATCACAGTGTATGTCATCTGTGATGCTACACAGATCCTCCTAGCATGTCTTTATTTGCATTATTTGTTTTCCACTGACCTCACTTTATTATTCTGGCTTTGGGGGGAAGTGAGGGCAATGAGAATGGTCCTCTCTGCCGCTTAAAATCATTTGCTCCTGTATTTTTACAAGCCGTTTCAAGTCCTTTTTGGACCTAAATGGAGTAAAAATAAAAAAGATTTAAAATATTGCTCAGTTTGCTTAGTTACAGACGTTTTGCTCCGTGCTCTTCCTTCCTTTCAAGCCTCGCCCAGCCCTGGGGTCCCGCGTCCCCAGGCACCCACTCGTCCCTGACCTCCTTTTCTCAGCTCAGCATCGGTAGCGGAACTGTGCACTTCACAAAATATGATTGTTTTGAACATTTCCCTCGTGGTCCCCGTGTGTCAGTCCTGTTCTTGGTTGTCTGTTTTTCAGTGGTGGCGACTGTGGTTCGTGCTTGAGTCAATTTTCGGAGTCAATATTAGTGCCATAGTAATTGACTAATATTGTATCAGGAAATGTTCATGCTCACTTTTTTTTTTTTAAGTTTGGAGTCTCACTCCGTGGGCCAGACTGGAGCGCAGCGGCCGCTCCCACCCACCGCGGCCTCGGCCTGCCGGGCTCCGGCGGTCCTTCCGCCTCAGCCTTCCGAGCAGCTGGAACTACAGGCGCGCGCCACCACGCCCGGCTGATTTCTGACTTGTAGGATCGAGGTCTCGCCAAGCCGCCCAGGCTGGTCTCGAACCCCCGAGCTCCGGCCATCCTCTCGCCTGGGCAGCTGTTCCCGGGCACGCCCGATGCGGAAGGGCGGGAGCCCGGGCGGGCGGCTGGGATGGGCGCTGGGGGTCGGTCGGGGGACGGCGGGCGGGATGGGAGCCTGGGCCCGTCCTCGGGGACCACCCCCAAAGCC